TCCTTAGAGGCAGTCAGGGACCTGGGCAGCCTTGGCCAACTGATTTGATTTAGGGCTGGAAAGCAGCTTCCAGGCTCAGCCTTTGTGCCTTTGGGTGACAATGTACTGGACCAAATTAGCTTCCCTGGAGTGAGACCATGATGCAGAGATGCTCTAATTGTCTGTCTGCCTTTTGGGGACAAGTAGTTTGTTGGGTTTTTTAGTTCTGTTTCTTCCCTCTTGCTCTGAAAAGCAAAAAGTTGACTGACTGTATCACGTGCTTTAGCTGAATGTATTAATTAGCCAGTGTGGTAAATATCTGCACTATCTGGTTTATCTATTGTTTTCTCAGGAGCAAATTACACACGCAGTTTTAACATTTGATAGAGTTTTACACTTTTTGGAGTGTATTAAACTTTATAGTGTTCAATGGTGAAGGTAAAAGTGCACCTGGAATTGTTACTACAAGAGTTTGTTTTTCAAACTTTGTTTGAAGTCTTAAGATTTGGCACAAACACTTTCACAAATAAATGCAACTACTGTGAAGATAACTGACTTGATGTCAGGAATGAGTTGTTGAAATAGTACCTGATTAAATATTTGGTACTGTTTTCTGAATTTTTTGTGGTGAGTATTGGAAGGTTTAACACAAGACAAGTCTGGATTGACTCCTGACTTTTCATAAAATGTAATATTTCTGCTTTTTATATGGTAACTTATTTGGCACATCTGACCATAAACCAAAGGAACTCAAATTCCTGATGAGTAAAACCAGTGCATTAACAGCTTTTGACACGTTCTTTGTTTATTTTGTGCTGCATTATGCTTTGGTTATGTTAGACAACTTTATGCCTTCCTGTGGCCTATGTGAAAATGAAGTCTTGTATGAAAAAAATCCCTATCTTTAATTGCTTTGTTAATGAACTTTTAAGCACAAGTTCTGAAAGTAGCACACATTGAGTGGACTAATATATGAATGTTGTTATAAAATACTGTACACTAAATATGAATGAACTTTTAAGAAAGCAGTAAGATTATGGTTCTGTATAAAATGTGCAAGCTGTAAATGGAGAAACAGATGACACTTTCTCTGGTCGTTAGATAAGTAGTTCTCTGAAAATATCTTTGGAAATGAGGGAGAATTCATGAAAATAACTTCAGTGGCGTTTCTAAATTCTCTCTGTTAAGCAGATGGTAAAACTGCTGAGGCATGTTGTGCTGACACCTTGCTGTTGAAACAGCCAGAAGGGCTGGAGGTCCTGCAGGAACACATGTTGTGTAATAACCCTTGATCTAACAGTGTGTATTTTCTTTAGTTTGAAAATGCTGGGGAGTCTTATATCTCATTGTCAGTGATGCCAACTTAAAAGAAATGCCTACATGTCATTAAAAAAAATAGTCCCCTCGCCATCTACCTCTCCCCCTTAAAAATACCAGAGACTAGGACTGCAATGAATTGCTTGCAACCAAGTATGTAGTGCTTTGTAAGATAGAAAAACCATTACTTTTGGAATCTATGAATTTGGTACAATCTTAACGTGATAATTGAATTTTGCTTTTTTGAAACAGTTTCTTTCCCTTGATGAATAGCATATGCTGGCAGTATTTGCTGGAAGGAAAAAAAGCTCACTTGTCTCGATTTAGAGTTCAAGAGAACCAAATAATATACTCAGCGCAGCATGAAAAGAAAAATACTTGAAGTTGCTAGTGTAGCTCAGGCAAGTTTTTTTTCATTCTCATCAAGCTTGTAACTAATGTTGATGTTTGGGTGTTTAAGCAAGAAGAATGTTGGTTTTATAAGGGATCTATTGAGCTCTTGTTTTCTTAAGCAGCAATAGTCCAGATCACTGTTTGTTTTTTCAATTTGAATTGATACTTATATTCCCTCCAATAAAAGCTGTATGCTTTCACATTTTGCCATACAGCTGTGGATTTCTGTGCAAAGACCAATATGTGCACAACTAGCTGCCTGTTTAGTCAGAAAGACTGGGAATATACTTGGATTCTAAGTCATGCACCAATACCACATAACATTTGTCACTAAAGTTGGTAGAGAAAATACCTGTTATTTCAATGCCCTGGCCTTGTACAAGAACTGTTTCAAAAGGCTGTATGGAGAATCCAGCAATTAAAAAAGGCATTAAATTCAGTTAACTGTCTTCAAACCTGATAAATTATGGGTAATGTTCTCAGTATTGCTCTTAAGCATCTGGCCCAGATAAGCGTGACTGTTTAAAATCTGCTTCTATCCAATTTCTGATGGGAATTGCAGGAAAAAAAAGTCCAAAATCCTAATTGTTAAAGCTTATTAAGTATATATTAATACAGTAAATGAAAATAGGTTTTGGACTGGGTTATTTTCTTTTGGTGCTTTTCTTTGAATGCTTGCTTTGGCATTGCACTGGAGTTCTTTAGATGCATTGTGTACAGCAGCTGTCTGTCCTCACATGTTTTTAATAACTTTCTATAGACTAAACCAGTGAATCAGTAAAATACAAGGCCTCTCTGTTAGTGTACTATATCATTAATTGAGGTTTATGCACTTACGGTTTGGCAAGCAAAAGTTTGAGTTCTGTGGCTGTTAAGAAATCAGAAGTTGACAAGAACAACTGACCCACTTGTCTGTCTTGCCTGCTCTCATGAAACAGAGATCCAAACGGTTTCAGCTCCGTTGGCATTTAGTTGTTCATGTGTGCCATGTCTGTTTTGAAACTTCTTTGGCACTCCTTTGAAGGCAGTTACTCAGCTTGCCGCAGTGGCGCACATTGCTGGAGATCGCTCCCGCTCTCTGATTTATCTAGTAGTTGTTTGGAGGTAAATCTCCACTGGAGGATTTTACTCTCTAGCTGGAGGAGAAAGTACTGTTAAAGGGTTGGTTATCGAGGCTAGCTCTGCTAAAAATAGCAGGAAAGACAGCAGAATAATAAAGTGAATAACAGGAACCCGTACTCAAATTATGCTGGTAACAAACACAGTGTTCTGAGGTTTTGTGAAATAGAGAAAACTTTTGTCCCACATTCCAATAATTTATTTGGAAGGCATGTTCCACTTGAGGATTGCCAAGAACTTTACAAATACGAAGCCTTTTAACATGTCTAAGGTATGTGCTGTACCATTTCAAAAAGAACCTCATAGGCAAAAATGATAGCTGTTTTTTCCAGAAACCTGTGGTCTATAACAGTACAGAAAGCTTTGCTTCAGTAGTGCAGGGAAGCCTCCCTCAGACTCTTCAGTTATGAAAACCTGTTGTGGCTTTCTATCTCAAAGAAGTTTGTGAAGCAAAAAGTTTGGTGTTTTGTATTTATTTTTGCTTTCTTTCCCTTCAAAGCTGAACATAAGACATACGCGCAGCAGATTGAATTTGAAGTTATGTATCTCTAAATTTCTAGCATGATATCACCTATGACGAGTCTGCAGCTCTAGTTGTGCTTTTTGGAGGTGCAAAAATTAGAGGCAAAATGATTCTTCTTATACATGTGTGATTTGAAGATCAAATGGTCAGACTTGGGGCAACAGAGCTAAAGAACAAAGGTACCAGAATCATTATGGGAGGAAGAACTCCTTCAGGAAATACCTGTAGCCTTTAATGTCAGGGCTGTTTGAATGGAGAATGCTGTCAATGGGACCAGCAAATGGATAGAATTGGACTGGAGTTGTTAATACTGTAAAACACTGGCATTGAAAATTAAAATAAAGTTGTGCTAGAAGGAAGGTGAAACACACGGTTTTGCCCGGAGATGAAGGGAATAGATGTCAGCAAAATGCAGAGCCTTGTGGTGGGGAAGTTTTATGGGCAAACACCATCAAAATCCTGGGGTGATGAGTTTGAATGAAAGCTTGGGGTACAGCAACACATTTAGGAAAGAATAGGCACCAGATCTTTTGTTAACTGGAAAAATCAGGAAGCCTAAAATTCCAGAGGCTGCACAGGCCACAGTGTGGAAGATTTTCACCACTCCTTACTCAGTCAATGCGAAAAAGTGTCGTCTTGTTACAGGGAGGTTTTCTTTAAAATACCATATGTTTATATATAGCTTCAAAAGATTTTGTGCTGTCCTGATTTTAGCACACAGGCAGGGATTTGTCTTCATGTGAAATGACCCGTATAATACATTTTCCTGCTTTTGTAGAGGTTTGCAAAGGGTTTCGAATCACAAATGAATTTGAAGCAACTCAGCACATGCTCCAGTAAATCTGCAAGAAGTCAAGGAGAGTACTTTGGTGATGATTGTTGCTGAACACTGAAATTACCCAAGTGGATTACTAAAGTGTTTATTTCTTTGGCAAGCAGAAATCAATGATCAGAAGTAAACTGTACAGTGACAACTGTGCAGTGTCAGTCTGCCCTGGTCCAGCAGCACAGGCTGGAGGGAATCAAGCTGTGAAGCTGCTGCATTCCTAGTCTGGTCGTAGTCAGACATCCAGACATCCAACTCAGGGCAGAATCTTTCAGATAGTACTTGTTAAAACTAAACTCTGCAATATGTGTAGACAAAAGGTAATTTTTTATAGTTATAACAGATTTTGATGCCACCAGAATTGCTGCAACTTCCAAAGCACTTATCACAGATTGAACTTATTTTTACTTCACATTATCTTTGACAGTAGCTGTATTATTTGGAAAAGAAAAAGCATGTTTATACATGCCTGTTTTAAACAGCTGCCTGGGCTAATAGACATTGTCAGGTGCTCTTAGGTGGAGGGTCCTTCAGGACGATCTTTCTGCTGGAGATGCTGAACAACTCTCCTGGGTTTTTTAACATTAGTCTGTATTATTTAATAAACAGTCTAAATCTTCATCCCCAGCTCCCTCAAAATTCATTTTGAAGAAGGCAGAACTGTCCAAGGCTTTGAGTCAATCAGGAATTGTTCTGTACAGAACTTTTATTGCCTTTGATTTCAAGGTGCCTTCAGGTTCTTAGAGAGCATTGCTGTGCTGTCAGGGTGTCAGGACATTGTTTTAAAAACACTTTGCAGCTTTCAACTTTTCTGCGCTTTTTATTTGTTTTTATTTTCTGTAGACTCGAGATGATTTTCTTGGACAAGTGGATATTCCTCTTTATCAGCTACCGGTTTGTATTTTTTGTTTGCTTGTGTTTTACGACTGTGATAGGGAATAAATATTTCTGCATGAACTGTGTTAGTCATCTAAGGAAGTGAACTGTCCTGATAATACAAGTGATTAAGTTCTCCTGCTCTGTGGGTTCTTTGTTTTATTTTGTGGATTTGTTAGGGGTTTTTCAGTGCTGATACTTATTTTTAAATGTAGATTACCTTGGGTTTAGATATTGCTGCTACAAGAGTTAGGAGTGCTTTTAGCTTTTCCACAGATTAACAGTCTTAAAGATAAGAGATTGTAATTATTGTAATTTCTTAAAATATTTACTTTAAAATCTGTAAATTTACTCTTAATGTTTCTTATTCAGATAACCAGATACAAAAAATGGTAAGTGGGAAATAGAGCTAGTATTGCTTTGGACGTGTTTTTTCTGGTTTCTGTATTCCTTTTGCAAAGCAAATGATCAGGTTTTTTAAAAAAAGTCACCAAGAACACTGAAACAAATAAGCTTCTTCATTTTCTTCTGAGGTTTCAAAGCAGTAGTAGATACTAACAGGTTTGTCAGCAAGTGTTTTAAAGACAGAATAGTAATCATGGCAAAACCTCTGCAAGAGCAGTTGTTTCATTCTCTAGTATACATAGACACTGAAAGTAATTTCTTTTTTCTTGAACCAGAGCATTAGAGTTATTACTAAGATTAAAACTGGTGTTGCTGTTACTGTACCTGAAGCTGTAATTTAAATTTTAAAATATTATAAGGCCTTTAAAGAAATTAATTGTAAGATTATGATAGTTTCCTTTAACTTCAAGTGCTCGATAAATATTTGTCTTGAAAAACCTTGTCTTATTCCAGACAGAAAATCCAAGTATGGAGAGACCATATACATTTAAGGATTTTGTTCTTCATCCAAGAAGGTTAGTAAATAGCACATGGAAATTCTACCTTTCTTATCTAAACAATGCTGTTGTGTAATTAGTTGTAAATATGTAAACATTGTCTAAATTTGTCTCTTTTCATCAAAGAAATTGGAGCATCCATTTGTAAGATATTGTGGTTCTACTAAAAAGTCAGAATTTGTTTAAATAATTACAGATTATTTGGTAAGAATAAATAATTTTTCTTCAGGCCATGATATAATTTGGGTTGTAACTTCATCTGACCAATTTACTGTTTCACTGAGCAGTGAAAACAGAGACCAATATTGTGCATTAATTCATTTATCCCTTTTCAACTTAAAGTTGTTTCCTGCCTTCCTGTCTCTTTTGTTTACCTGTTTCATGTGAACAGTTTCATGTGACCTTTATAATAAACATATAAAAAGTGACACTGAAAAGCTGCTAAACATTTAGGAAGGCCTATGTTAAAAAAAGACAAGGAATTTCTAAATGATAGGTAGCATTTGGACACTGATATTAATGTTAAGCATTTCATGTTTATTTTTAAAATGCAGCCTCTTAACCTAAATCTGAGCAGTTTTTAAGAAATTTGTATTTAGAAATAAAACATGTTAAATGCATATCAGTATTTTTCAGTTAGTAGGTTCCAATTTAGAAAACACAGCAGAATATGTGGGATCTATAGATCTTCCTCAGCCAGAAGTATTTTTAAAGTATTTTACACTTCTTGATTTTTTGTAGATAAATGGTTCTAAAAGAGTTACTGAATATCAAACTTCAATTTGACCTCCTATTTTTCTGAATTTAACATTTCCTAATCTACAAATGAAGGAAGAATATTTATTGTCTCTACATGAATAAACTTCAGTTGTTTTTTAGTCAAGGACCTGACCTCTTCTCCTAGTGGCTACCCCATGAATTTGGCAGTGCATTACAGTTAGAGATTCTACCACAGGTTCAGGCACCTTTCTGCCTTGAAATCTTATGGTAACCTTTAGATGCTTTAGTATTGCTAATGCATGTGCTTCAATTCTGCTCAAATTTGCATTTACTTAGACAGGAATATTAAGAGTAAGGTCACCTTCCCAGTATCTGAAAAGCATGACTTTTATTGTTTGCGTTGGTAAGAGATGGTGACTTCCTCTTTCAAATGGATATGGGCTTTTCTCAGACCTAGATAAACATTAGACCTCTGTGATCTGCTTTTGGGTTTTTTTCCCATTTTGATAAGGTGGGTATCCAGTTGACTCACTGGTGATATTTTCAGGACTCTTATTTTTTTTTATTTTACACCAACAGTCAAACAAATGAGAAAATTTGGCAGATTTCTTTACCAATTCAAAATACTAAATAAAATCAACATGGGGAAATGCTTTTTTTCAGGCTTCTACTGTTGTGTTATGCCAAATACAGAGAGGCAGATGCTGAAGTGTGTGAGCTTGCTGTAAGTTAGTGTCAGGAATGGTAGTTCTGCAGGTTGACATAATGCTTGACAGATTGTCTGCACACAGTTGAGCTCTTATCAATATATGAATTAACTTGTCTTTATGTTCTTGTCCTTTATTGTTATGCCTTGGATACTAAGGAAGTTTTCAGAAGAATGAGTTGGAAAGAAAGTTTTCCAGTTACGGTGCATAATACCAAGCTGCATCCGGAAATCTAAAAACTCAGTACCATTATAGAACTCCATTAATTAATAGAACTCAATTAATTAATTATAAAAAGGCAAATTTGTGTGGAGAAACTTAAGAATAATCCTCTAGTTGTGCATTTTTAGCTATTTTGTTTCCAGGGAACAATTTCACAAGTGCATAGTCAGATCATTTTGTTTTCTCTTCTGCAGCCATAAATCAAGAGTTAAAGGCCACCTTAGATTAAAAATGACTTACTTACCTAAAAACAATGGGTCTGAAGAAGAAACCACAGAACAGGCTGAAGAATTAGAGGTGGGAAAAAAACATGTTTATTGCTGAAAAATGAATGTTAGGAATCACTATAAATATAAATCAGCCACAAATAATGTTTTAGAAACATTATAACCAGTTAAAAGTGATTGCTTTTATCTTACATAAAATTGTAAGTCTAAGTTTCTCTTGTAGGTTTAATGTTGTTTAACTGCAAAGAGAAACAACATCTCTCTGGTTTTAGAATTTCAACTCTCCAATTTGTAGAGATATTTTGATTTTAACTACTGTGTATATATATATGTAATCTTTTGTAAGCACATCCAGTGTAGATTAATAGATTTTTTTAAAGACTTACCTCCATTCATCATTGCCACCTTTACTGTAATTAAACTTTGTTTCAAAATGCTATCCTCATCTGCCTAGTACATTGGCAGCATATGTGGGAAATGACATTTGTTCGCTTTTTTTAATGTATTCTATGCATGCTGTTTATTTTCCTGGAATAACAGCTTCTGATACTGATATATTTAAGAAACTTGGGTTAAAAATAAGATTTCTGCATGCATAATTCTTCCTGTCACTTCTTGAGAAATGAACACACTAAGCCAAATTTACTGGCTTAAGATTTAGTGGAATTACACCTTAAAAAGAGGGGGGGCAGCTTAGTAAATTGAGATACTAAAAGTGCTTTGTTATATCTCTTAGCCTGGGTGGATTATATTGGACCAACCAGATGCTGCGAGCCAGCCACAACAGCAGCAGCAGGAACCTCCTCCACTGCCTGCAGGCTGGGAAGAAAGGCAGGACATCCTTGGCAGGACCTACTACGTCAATCACGAGTTCAGAAGGACACAGTGGAAAAGACCAACTGCTCAGTATGTGTTTTGGCCTGAAAATTCCAGTCTTGTACCTGGTTCACTCTGGTTACATTGAAAGCAAGGGGAATTAGTAGAGAGCTTTCCCTAGCTTAACTTTCAAACCTGTGTGCAGTGGTCACTGGCTAAAGGTCATTTTAACTGTACTGTACACTTCCTTTGCTCTGGAATTATGTGTCCAAATAGAAACTGGTTGCAATTAAAGAGATAACTACAGTATTGGAAAGGAAATTTTTCAGTTTTAAGCCTGGTTCTTCCTTCCCATCAGGAACTCATTAAATTACTTCCCCTATTCTTTCTCAGTTATTTTTTTCCCCTGGAATGCTACCTGGTTCTTTATTTTACCTTACACTTCACACACACAAGCTGTTCATTATAAACAGCTTCCATGAGGTTTTATAGTCCAGACTGTTCCTTTTTCTTCTGCCAGAACAACTGTGACTGACATATATTTTTGCTGGTAGCCTGGTTTACTGTTGAAAGATAAATGTGGCTGCTGTGTGCTGAGTTCTGCCCTCCCACCCCACCAGGGACAACGTGGCTGTGGCAGATCTGGGCAGTGTGCAGCTGGAGGCCCAGCACGTGTTCACTCACCGGCGACAGATATCAGAGGAGACAGAAAATGTGGACAACAGAGATTCCCCCGAGGTAAAAAAGCACATCTCGAAATGTTCCTCAAATGCAGGTGGCTTTTTAATCTAGTCTACTCAAAAAACTTGTCTTAACTCATTGTAACTTGAAACTACCTTCTAAAAGCATTTTTTTCTTTATTTTCTTTTTAAAGAGCTGGGAGATCATAACTGAAGACGAGGCAACGATGTACAGCAGTCAGAACCTTCAAATACCTCTCTCACAGAGTAATTGTGATATACAGACTCATCTTGCAGAAGAATTGAGTAACAGACTTACTACCTCTGGAAGTTCAGCTACTGGCCAGTCAGCAGCCTACACTGTAAATTATTTGTCTTGTTGTTCTAGTGTAGAAATGTCTACAATATTTTGCACAAAATGTTACTACTGGTAGAATTAGATCTATAAATATTTAATTTAACAATTTTTTCATTTTATCTCGAATGCAGAGATTTTAATAATAGTCTTTTTACTATAGAAACCCATCTAAACAAACATTTTATTCTTCTCTACTTTGCTTATATGAATTTCTGCCTGAGGTTAAAACAGGCTATTTTTCAGGCTGTAAATCTACCTCTTAGTCCAGTGTCATAATGCTGCTGAAAACTAGGGATGAAGAAAGCTGTGTATATCCTGACATCTTATTTCTAAAGGAGTTGTGCTATGTGGGTGACTTTTCCCACTACAAGTCTTAAGATAGATAACTTTTCATTGTGAATATCGGGATGAGGTTTTATGATTGGCCTGCAGACCTGCTGATTCCATAGCAGTGAAAAGGGGAGCTTGCCATACAGTTCCACAGCCCTTGTGCCAGTTGAGAAACTCGCCTGACCTCTGGCTGAGTCTGTCCAGCTTGCTAACCCAGCAGAAAAATCTTCTCTCTTTTCCCCAACTCTGTTTTTTTGCAGCTGTAGCAAGATGAAACAGCATGCTGAGTATTTGTCTGACAAATGCTATGGTGGCAAAGGAAAGCAGCAGGAGTACATAGCCAGAGATGGAACTTGTCTTTTTGCTGGTAGCAAGCAATTAAGCTCAGCTGTCTTGTGAAACCTGAGCTCCACAAACAGCCCTGTAACCTGATAGGTGACGTGAGAAATCCACTGTCCATTGAGGAAAGCCCATAGAGGTGACCCAGACCATCTAGTCTGTTAGATTTGGGTATTGAAGTAATCATGAGCTTTTGTGATGTTAGGGATGCCATTCCAGGTGTAAATTTGGAATTGACAGTGTTCATCTGAGTTTGTACAAATGCATCGCTGGTGTTGCTGGAAATAGCCAAGTGAGAGTAACAAGACTTGATCTGTGCTATTCAGCATCCAGTGGGTAGCAGGAAAACTGCTGTTTCAGCTTGCTTGGGTGGCCTGAGCAAAGACAGAGGCTGGTGTTCAAATTATTTGTTAGAGTCAGGTAGAGTGACATTCTTACCTCCCTTCACCTCCACTGCCCACAAAAATAATTAAAAACTTAATAGTGGTTTTTCTTTGAAGTATTCCAAAAGGGTACGTAGATAGGGAAAAATCCTTCAAATAATCAGGAAAATCCTGGAGCAAGATTAATTACAGTTGCTTAACTGTAGCAAATTAGGTCTAAATATGGCTCTAGGCAGAAAGGTGAATGCTTATGCAAAGTCCAGGGATTGAATTACTCTTCTCAAACTGGCTGTGTTGGTCTCTCACATCTTGTCATTATTCACCTAATCTATTCTCTGGAAAGCTGTGTTAGCTGTGATGTATCACAGGCTTTACTCTACTGACAAGATAACACAGTAAGTTCTATGCTGTAAATTCAACTGTGATGTGACTAGTTGTAATTAACTGTAATGTTTTACATACCAAAACATCTATTGCTATGGTTTTCTGAACTTTCACAAACCTCTATTATTCTGTTTTAAGATTATAATAGACACTGTGAACTTAGCGTTTCTAGCAGTGTTAAAACAGGAGGTTCCAAAATCAGTGTTTCAAAACAAATACAACACTTTGTTCCAGATGAAAACTGTAATAGTTTGAAGTGTAATAACCATTGTTGACTGTTTGCTGCCATCCTTAAAGCTGCAATAATAGCTAATGTGTCATTCCTCTTCACTACTTCAAGAACCATTCCAGCAGAAGAGGTAGTCTGCAGACATACAGACTTGAAGAGCAGCCTGCACATCCACTGGTATGTCATTTTCCAAAAAACACAGGCTTTTATGTGTATTGTGTGCTGACATTTCAAATGAAATCTGGCCTTCCATGTCCAGCAGCTGTCCTGATAAAATGGCAATTACGAGTCTAGTTCAGTTGTAAAGCTTTCAAGTTCCAACCTTGTTTAGCATTAGGTTGATGCAAGGGCAGAGCCTGCAGAAGGAAGGCTCTCATCAAGATAGAGTTTTGTTTTTCAAATTGTTTGCCTTATAATTGTTTACTTTTAATTCAAAGCTATACCAAGTTACATTATGCTTTCATAGTGACACTGCAAGCTATGAGCTCCTAGCCAGAATTACTAGGCTGGATCAGCTGTGCCTAAAACAGGTTTATATGTGAATTATTTTACATGAGGAGCTTGAATTTTAAATAAACTAATAAATAAAAATTTCTTACTTCATACTATTCAGTAAGGACTTAAATACTCTAATTTATCACAAACCTTCTGGATTATAGTTTTGTTGTTTTAATTTGACAGAGAAAAACCTTTTTGCAGTAAGTTTCATAGTTTTCTTAATTGTTTTTCATCTGTTGTTACTAATATTTAGTTACTGCCTACTTCATCTGGATTACCCCCAGGCTGGGAAGAACGACAGGATGATAAAGGAAGATCATATTATATAGATCACAATTCTAGAACCACTACCTGGATAAAGCCAGTTGTACAGGTACTGTCTCTTGTCTAATTTATTGATGGTTTTATTTGTTTAACCTTTTAAACATCTCACACTTCTGTTGAAATAAAGTTGAGAGATGTCTTTGAAACAGAGCCTGTGAAAGGCATAAACTAGTAAAGTACTACATAAAACATCTGACAGACTGCAAGGAGAGTTAGGAACAGTAATATTTATGGCAAGTCACTCTACTGTGACTGTACCAAGGAGGCCTTCTGGAGTGATAGCTGACTGAGAAGGCTGAAAGGCTTCTTTTAACCTTGATAGTGTGATCAGTGATTTTTAGTCAATGTTGTTGATATTAGACTAAACAAATCTGTGTACTGTCTGGCACTTGCTTTATGAAACTGCTTTCATGAGTCAAAAATATGGGCTAATAGCAAAAATATATTGCTTTACAGGGCTTTGATTTGATATGATTTTTTTTTTTTATTTACCATAGATTGCTACAGAAACAAGTCAGGTGTCAGCTGCACAAAGTATTTCTATAGGAAGACAGCCACAAGCAACATCAAGTGACTCATCACAACAGTCTTCTCAGCAGCAGCCTGAAATGGAGCAAGGATTCCTCCCTAAAGGCTGGGAAGTCCGACATGCACCCAATGGGAGACCATTCTTTATTGACCACAACACCAAAACTACAACATGGGTAATGGGCAGCTGCTCTCATGGACTGAAATTCTAGTTCCTCTCAAATCAAAACTGTGCTGCTTTCAGCAAGCTTCTCTATAGATCTTTAGTGCCAAGATAGCTGCGTCTGTTAAGAAGCATAGGTAGTGCCAAGTAGTTTAAAATACATGAAAATAGTAGAAGATTATCAGTTTTACTACTTGTATTGGTGTTTGAAAGTTCAGCTTGGAAGGAGGAAAATCCAAATCTGTTTGGCAGATGTAAAGTTCCTCCTAGATGACATTGTAAAACTGAGATGGCTTATATGTGCTGTTAGCAGAAACCAGTTTTGTAAACTTACCTTCTATGTGAAATCCATTGAATTTATCACAGGGAACAATGTGGATATTTAGGAAAGCAGAGCAGGTGCAGCTCCAATATGGATGAGGGAGTTGTACAGCTACAGTTCCACAGAGTGGCACTGCACACCACTTGGCAGTGCCATTAGATGGACTTAAGCATTTCAGGAGTAGGTCAGTATTACTGTCAGGTGAAAGGGAAAGAGAAATGCATTAAATGGGTTCAAAATGAGGATTCTCTTCTCCAGGTTTATGGAAAGAACTCATTTAACACAACCATCCAAATGAACAACAAAAAACCCCCACCAATCCTAAAAAGCAGAAGGTGTGCCAGAAACTGTGTGGAAAGAGTAATTCGACTCAATAACACAAAAATTGAGTTGAATTGAGGGAGTTTTATTTATATATATGTAAATAGAATAAACTGAGAGGTCACTAGAAGATGATTGTAAATTACTGGAGTAGTGAGAATCCCCAAGGATTCCCCTGGCTGCAGAATATGCAACAACTACCTAGTTGGTACTAGGCATATTCTTTACACAACCATTAGTAAAGAGGAAAAAATTAAAAGCAGAACAAAACAGCAAAAGGATTTTAACATGCTGCTTGTTTTCTTTTCAAAGGAAGATCCAAGACTGAAAATTCCTGCTCACCCAAGGAGAAAGACTTCCCTAGATCCAGTAGATCTGGGCCCATTACCAGTAAGTAAGCTGTTTTGTATTTGTTTTGCAGATGAAACAGTGTAATTGTTTTAAATTAGTATTATTGACATTTGCACGTGAGAAAATGCAGCCTCCTTTTTTCTACAAAAAATACTCTATTTTGAATTCCAGTGCTGACAGTAGATTGGGGGTGGGGGAATGCCCACAACTGCAGATCATGTTGAGTTCTGTGCAAACTGTGTGATCAGAAATTTGTAATTCTTACAGCCAGGGTGGGAAGAGAGAACTCACACAGATGGAAGAATATTCTTCATAAACCACAGTATGTACAGTGTAGTATTCTCCCCCATTCATCCTTTTATTTTTGAACATTATCTAAATGGAACTTTAAGGAACTAATCAAGAAATGTCTTGCAGATACAAAGAGAACACAGTGGGAGGATCCCCGACTGCAGAATGTGGCTATAACTGGACCAGTAAGCATTCCTTATGGAGATTTTCATGTTTTCAAGAATACTGTTAATAGAATCCAAATAAACTCTTGTCATTTATCAGTTATTCAGTCTGGAAGGTGAAACTGCCAGGACCTTTGAACAAAGTGTTTTGTTTTTTTTTTAAGAGTGTTTGAAAAACTTTCTGTGGAAATGGTCTTTAAATGCCAGAAAGAAAAAGCAGTTCCCATGGTAGTAAGAAAGTTCCCCCCTGAGGGGGAGGGATTTAAAGTGGGTAAAAAAACCTGTGTATTTTTTAATCCACACTAGCTCAATTCAAGAAGTAAACTCGAGAAAAAAGAAAAAAGAAATCTCTTTAAAAGGAATTAAATTAATTTCCAACTGAAAAAATAATTATCTAGCCTCGCTACTTAATCTGAAGTGCAAAATCACCAGGACTAATTGCAAAGCTGGTACACATTATAATTATAGATGGGTTTTAGTGTTCAGCTGATATGTGTGTTTATTAATAGCCCACGTATGTAAACAGCCTTCCCTGCCCATGGAAAATAGAGGTGTTTGTAGCCAGGTCTCTCATGATACAGCAGGAAAGACTCTGTGTTCTGGACGTCACCAAAGGCATTTGGGTCACTTTGCTCTGGGCCAGTCAGGGATCTCAGTTTGTTACATCAGCTGATGGTGAAGTGCAGGGTCAGTTCTATGGAACTGCTCTGAACACAGAAGTGCTTCTCGGTCCAGATGTTTATAAACTGAGTCTCCCCTGCCACTCAGTAAAACGTGCACTCCTGTTATCTCAGAACTCAAATGCATTGTCTGTGTTTCACAAACATGGACTAGTTTACATTACATTAATTGTTAGAGTATCTCAAAGTTTTTCTTTCTCCTTTTTTATTCCCCTCCAAGGCCGTGCCTTACTCCAGGGACTATAAGCGGAAGTATGAATTCTTCAGAAAGAAACTGAAGAAACAGGTCAGTTATCAGCAGGAAACCAGCAGAAGGTTAAGAAACTTAGGCCTCTAAACAAGGGAAAGCTGAGGTTACAGGGAAGGTAAATTTACTGTCTGATCACTGATACATTTGGGAAGCAGCAGCAACTTGGTAGCAACTAGCATTTAATCTAATAGCAGGGTTTGTGACTTTGTGCAGTGATGAGTCTGCAAGCAGTCTAGTTGAAAAAGTAGAAGTTCGAAAAGTTTACAAAAGTCGTAAACCTGAAAGCAAACCTGCAGCAGAGAAGTTTGGAAATCGCTGGTCAAGCATATATAGTAGATTTTGAAACTCAGAATAGGGAGATGGAAGTTCTCAGAATAGATTTTACATTGTCAGTGTAGAAATCTGTACTGTCATTTTGATCAGGCTGGATGACTGAAACAACTTGTTACAGCCTTAAAATCTGAAGTTTATGAATCTCATTGGCAAACTGTAGTTTGAAGTGGCAGTGCCAGGTGTATTTATAACACATAGCATAAAAGACTGTAAATAGTATCTGGACAGCCAGATAACAATGAGTCTCTGCACAAGCGCAGTCAAATTTTGTGTCCTTGAGAGATATTTTACATATATAATAAATAAATAAAATAGTTTAGATCCACCTTTTGCCTACCAAGTCTGCCCATGCGTTTTGAGCTGACGTGTAAGTTGCACACAATTATATATGCACCTCATTTTTTGTGTTCCTCATCAAACAAGCTTGGTTCTGAGAAATGATAAACAGCTCAGCCACTCAATGTAATCACAGTAATTTAAGAATTAAATACAACTGTAGATTTTGTGTTACGTAAGAGAATGGGACATGTAGCCTTGTAGTTAGAATATTGAACTGGAAGGTGAAATAAGCCAGGTAAAATGGTTCCAAATTACCTTATGTATGAACTGTGAGGTTTTTTTATCAAGTTTGTGATATGATGAATGTTCAGTGTCAAAAAAGACTGCATACCTTGCTGCATGCAGAACAACTGCCCATGTGCTGTTACTGGTAAGAACTTACTTAACTGTATTTTCTTTGTATGAAATAGGACTTAGTATCTGAATTCCCCCTTGCTAGTTGAATTGTAGGTAAATAGAGTGTCTTCTCAATCGTACTGTGTTATGTTTCCAAGTTGTTTAAGAAAAACATTTGTGTGCCCTTCTGTGTCTTTTTACAGAATTTGCATACTCTGCAAAGCTATAATATGCTGGGGTTTGTTCTGTTATTTTATGTTTTCGTATTCTTTTTATTTTTAGAGTGATATTCCAAATAGATTTGAAATGAAAATTCATCGCACAACAATCCTTGAAGATTCTTATAGAAGAATTATAGCTGTAAAGAGAGCAGATTTCCTTAAAGCAAGACTTTGGATTGAATTTGATGGGGAAAAAGGTTTAGACTATGGAGGAGTGGCCAGGGAATGGTTCTTCCTTCTCTCTAAGGAAATGTTTAATCCTTATTATGGATTGTTCGAATATTCAGCTACGTAAGTAATACAGGTCTGGAAGACACGGAGAATTACCTGGGGAAAGCAGATCAAATGTATTTCTCAGACCTTCTTTAAAAATGGAATTACTGCCCCCACACCTGCAACTGTACAGGAGAGTTTAGTTGTTAACAAATGCAATAATCTGCACCTTGTTGCTTGACAGCAGAATAATGAGGAGGCAATACCTGCATTTTTTTTTACAGCAGTCTAACATAAGCCATGTCCTCCTTGCATGGACAAGGATGTGCTTGCAGCCATCTCCTGCTTAACAGAAGAGGCAGCACTTAACAAATACTGCAGAGCATGTTCTTCTGACTGCTTTAAAATTAGTAGCAGTTAATCCCTTCTCTTTGGTATGTCTGTAACTTACAAAGGTGCCTCATGGTGGTGGTTTCTGATATGCTAATTGTCTTCTATTGAGTTACATATTAGATATTTAACATCGTGAAAAGCAATAACTGATTTAACTAGTGATGTCTTTCAGATCTTCAGATGTGAGACTGTTCCAATAGTACAACATTTTGTTTTTCTTTCTCTTCCCTGTTCCCTCCCTCAACTTCAGAGATAACTATACTCTGCAGATCAATCCAAACTCTGGACTTTGCAATGAAGATCATCTCTCTTATTTCAAGTTTATAGGTCGTGTGGCTGGAATGGCTGTTTACCATGGCAAACTTTTGGATGGTCAGTATTTATTTTATGTACTATGATATTTAGATTAACGCTGTGGCTGATTTGAATCTCAAGTTACATACTGTTGAATTTATTTCTTCTTCTTTAAAGCCTTTTTCATTCGTCCTTTTTACAAGATGATGCTCCAAAAACCAATAACACTACATGATATGGAGTCTGTGGTATGTAATTTGCTTTATCATGTATGTTAAGATTTCATGTTCATTTTAATTCTTCTCTCTCTATATATAAGTTTAATACATTGTGAATGTTGAAAAGGCATGATTCAAAGAAATTTTAGACTCCATCTTTTATAAGTCTGTAAGTTGTATGGGAATTAAAACTTCCAGAGAATATCAAAGACCTTGACTCAGGTTTAAGTCAGTTGAGCTGTATTGGAAACTTTGACTCTAAACTTTCTATGATGTTTTCTTAAAATATTTCTAGACACAAGTATTCTTAAAATTGCATATAAATATCTTTAGGATCCTTGTCTTAACCTGTTTTTTAAATAATATTTTGCTGTGTGAGGCATTTACACTGATTGCTGAGTCTTCAGGTTTCAAATATCTTTAGAGCCTTGGACAGTTGCAGAGTCCCTGTATCCACTAGAGGGTTACCCTGGGTAGCAGCATTCACAGGACTGTAGTGGAACCTCTTGCAGCTTAGAAGGTGGCTACTCTATTTTCTGTTTGTAATTCTTTCTCAGGACAGTGAATATTACAATTCTCTGAGATGGATTCTTGAAAATGATCCAACAGAACTGGACCTCAGATTTATAGTTGATGAAGAACTTTTTGGTCAGGTTAGTATGTTTATGTAAAGTATAATAGACAAAACATCAGAAAAAAACATTTGACCTGTGAAATCAGCTGATTTGATCTGTGTGGTGTTAAGAAAACCCCTTCATTCACTCAACTGCTTTTTGCTCATGCAGTGCTTTTAACCTGTCTGGGATGTGATAAAGGACTTGGAAATAAGCAGAGTTTAAAAAAACTGCTTCTTTTTTTTTTTTGTTCTTAAATATTACTTGCATTGAAATGTAGCTATTGCTAAGAAGGCAACCCAAGACTAAGGTATCCATAATCTCATTACTTAATCTGGAGTAGAGGTTGTTTTTATGTGATTGGATGGAAAGGATAAGCTGTTTTGCAAATGGTTGGAATCACTGGGAGATAATGTTTTTTTCCTCTAATGTGTACTAGAAACCTATGGAATAAACAAGTTTGTTATTGTGTAGAAAGTATTGAAGATAAGTCATTTCTACATAAAAATTATAAATTCCAGCTGCCAATAAGATCTAAGTAGGATAATAACCTTTGTGGTCTTGTAACTGCAGTGATCCTAAGTAGGAGCAATGAAAATGTACATCCATGATCAACTGAAAATCTGATATTTGTTTACTTGAGGTTCTAGTAGTATAAATCATTATAAAATAGTGATGCATATTGATTCACTTACTTACTGGGACCGTTGCTGAAGTGGTTCTGTAATTGTTTTTCCTTGAGATTTGGAAAGAAGGCTGGGTCATGGAATGTGCCAAGTCCCCATGACTGGAAACTTGTGTGCTGACTTGGGTGGTGTATTGTAGCAGGTCAGAAAAATGGAGGTTTCCCCATTGCAGTCTAATATCCCTGAATAATACATTTTTAAAAAAAAAGAGTCAACCAAATTCTCTTTATTACTTGACCTGTGAAACTGCATCTATTTCTCATGGTTTCCAATTACCTGATATTAACACAGGAATTCTGTTACATCCCTGCCTCGTTTCACACCCCTCTGTGTATTGCATTTAGACCCATCAACATGAACTGAAGAGTGGTGGATCAGAAATAGTTGTCACCAACAAGAACAAGAGAGACTACATTCAGTGAGTAGTGATCACTGTGTGCAATTGTATCCACCTGTCTGTGGTTTAGCTTTATTTACAAAAGGAAGTTGTTGCTTTGTGTATATAAACCACTTTTATTTGAAATGGTTTTACTCTCTTTTTTTTTTTTCCCCTACAGTCTTGTAATTCAGTGGAGATTTGTGAGCAGAGTGCAGAAACAAATGACAGCTTTTAAAGAGGTATAGCTTTTATTACAAAATAAATTCTTCTAAGAATTTGTTACATCTAATATCAAGGTTTTTTGGACATCTTGAAGTCCCACAGATAATTCTGTTGTGTAAATAATGTAAGGTATAAAAAAAGGGCAGTGATACTTTTTGTAGTGTCAGCCTTGAAATATTTCAGACTTAAAAGTCTTTTTGATATGTTTTTACTGAGGTGTTTAATTCATATTGAAAAATGTGCTGATTTCTCAGTCATGGCTGACAGCTTTACCTGTAGTGCAAACTATTCAATGACCTTTGCAGAAATGAAACTTAATTCAATTACGTTAGTTTGATTTAAAGGAGGTTGCTTATCCTTATTTATATAAATTGTAGCACATATATGGTATTCAGACTTCCATCTTCTTCACTGGTGTTGCACAATGAAGATGAGAAGTGAGAGTTAAAAGTGCTATAACCAAACTGCAGAGTGTTGATGTCCAAACATCTGTATTTGATGTATTGCTTAGGCTCTGTTTACCAAAGCTTCTAAATGTCATTCTTCATGAATAAAAATGCTTAAATAATGTTGACTTGATTTTTAAAAACTTCCCTTGTCTCTTTAGGGCTTTTTTGAACTAATACCACAGGATCTGATTAAACTTTTTGATGAAAATGAGCTAGAGGTAAGTGTATCATGCAAAAGAAAGCAAATTACAGTGACACTTATTTTTACTGACTTTAAACTTTGGTGTTGTTTGTTTGGTTTTTTATCTTTGTAGTTATTGATGTGTGGATTGGGAGATGTGGATGTGGCTGATTGGAAACTACACACAAAATACAAGAATGGCTACAACATAAACCATCAAGTAATACAGTGGTTCTGGAAGGTATCATGAAGTTCTAATATTTTTTTGTTTAAAAACTGTTCAAAAGCTGCTGCCTTTCTGCTCTGCTAGTTTATTGTGTGATTAAACAGTAGATTAGGTAAAAAAAGACTGAGGAAGTAAGAAAACTAAAGATGAGATACATGGTAAGAGTTTAAATACAAGACAAAAAAATCTGTGTCTGACTGGGGTTAAAAAGACTTCTGTGTAGGTTTTTCTGGCATGGTTACACTAAAGAGGTGTTAAACTCTTCTGTTTAATAAATTACAGGAATTTGGCTGCTAGTTCATAACATCAGGAAACTTCAAAGAAAGTAGGGGCCAGATCTTCAAGGGAAGTATTTTGACAGCCTGCTAAGCCAGTAACCATACTCTTGTTACTGTGCCATTAAAAAATTGTTGACTTCATAGGCAGAGAAGTATACTGTGGGTATCACTAAAAATATGTATGTATATCTCACAAATAATGATTTAGAGGTAGATATTATGTTGCATGAGTCTACTAGCTTAAAGCCCTAATTTAAAAATAAATCTTTAATTGTAATCATTATCATACATAGGCAGTCTTAATGATGGACTCTGAAAAGAGAATACGATTACTTCAGTTTGTTACTGGCACATCCCGTGTTCCTATGAATGGGTTTGCTGAGCTGTATGGTGAGTACTTATGATTATCTTCACAGTTAAGTAATAGAGAACCTGAAACCAAAATTGTCCTGATGTTTGACTTCAGACGTGGGCAAATTATTTTTCAACTTTTAAAAATTAGTACTTACTGGCAGTTCTAAGAATCAAAGTTAGAGAAGAGTCACTTAAATCACATGTGTGTCCCACATTCTATAAATCCTTTGTTTTGATTCTGGTTTTGGAAGTTTCTAAATGTACAGGACTTCTCAAACGGGTCAGGATTTCTAAAGTTCTCAAGAGCTGCAAAAATCCTGTTTAACACATGATTGAGCTTGAAGAAAATTCTGTTATCCAAGATCTGATTACAAAGACGTGCTGGCATCAGCAGTTAACTTCAGTTCCCCGACTGCTTTTATCTGCTCACAAGCCACGGTTGTACAGATGCAGTTGTTTGTAAGGACGAACTCCAGAGGGGACCACTGCAATGACACGGGTTAAACACAATGCCAGAAGGAAAGTCGTGAGCCTACAAGGCAGAGACTGAAACAAACAGATGACAGCGGGGAGTGACTTCAGTGGCAAAGCCAGAAAAGCCACTGTGGAAGGACCGCGGCGGGCAGAGGGAACAGCCCAGGAGGGTGGGGATGCTCTGCTGACGGGAAGCTGTTTGCAGCTGCCATCAGCTATTATGTTTTCTGCTAGACTACTTTATTAAGGCTAAAAGTGCTTGAGGTCCTGTGCAAATGACTGAATAGCCTAATTTGCCTATTTGATTAAACATTTTTCTTTATAAACAACACATTAATTTGTTTATAAAACAAAAGAATTGTGAACAAATACCACCCACCATGTGTTCCTATTTCTCCATGTCTTCATTTTCGTTGTAAATACTTGGTTAATTTTTTTGTGTTCCATCAGTGAATGAGTTGTGAGTTCCAATGGGGAGGGCAGTGCCCTCAGTAAACTTGAGCCATGTGTCTGCTGTTGCACCTACACCTTGGCACTGTTGGTGTTACAGCACATTCTCATTACAGGGGAATTCTGCTGCCTCAGGAGTTCTGTTTTGTCTAAAAATACTACTAGAGGTAGAACTAAAGAATGATCCAGGGAAAGAAACTGCTGAAGCTCTTGGCTTCCTTCTGCCTGGGGTTTAGGATATCCCTGGGCACTGTTCTGGCCAAGTCCCGGTTTCTGTAATTCTGTTTACTCATCAATGAAAATTTCAATTAGTGGTTGTCTTGCACAGTGCTTTGTTTATTTCTCTTGTGGTTATTTGTATTTTACCATCCTCACTAACCCCCAGTGAGGATCAGAATCACTTTTCCTGTACCTGCTTTTATTTGAAGAACTGTAGGTAGTTCTTCAGTGCTCCGTGCAGGTCCGTGGTGCTTTGCTGCTGCCGGGCTGTCCCCGTGGCTGTTCCCTTCCCACCTCCGCTCTGCAGCCCTGGGTCTGACTTCCTAGCGGAGATCTCCCTCTCGTGGCGCAGAGAGGCATTTCTGCTCCTAAAGCGGCCGTGCTTGGACACGGGGAGCAAATCCACGCAAGCTGGAGACCTGGGACACTAAACAGACATTTTCTGAAAAGATAATGATTTTTTTCTTTTCTTTTTTAAACTACACAGTCTTCTCCAGGCGTACACAATTGCTTTCAACAGCTGAAGGAAATGGTTACAAAATGCCCTTTGCATCTACTTGGTGAGGGTTGAGAGGTCCTTGAAACAGATACAAGAGTTGCTGAAGGCACAGAGGTAGCTGGGGCTGCGCTTGTGAGCCAAAAATGTTCTCTCAGGCACATAAGAAGGTCCTTGATGCACACATATGGTCACCATGTTTCAAAAAGTTCTCAGTTACTCAGCTCTGTTGTGTAGGTAAAGGTGGACATCGAATCCTTTCTACCAAGTTATGTGACTTGGCACGTGGTGATAAACATGTATAAGTTTTTACATGCAAAATTTATACAGCATAAAATTGTCTTCTCCATAAAGTTTACAATGCCAACTACTATGCATGTGTATTTAGGTCATAGACCTTTGAGCTTAAGCTGTAAAAGTCTCTGGAAATTAAGATATAGCAAGCAATAATTAAAGTACAAGTGATTTTGGATTATTGACCGTTACTGAGTATAGATTGATTTGATTCTTATAGCTAGCTTCTACTAATCTCAGAATTAGATTACAAAGAACCAAAATACTTCTTAATTTCAATTTCTGATTATAAAAAGATCTCATAATAGGGTGAAAATTTGATGTATTCTTTCCTGCAGGTTCAAATGGACCACAGTTGTTCACAGTTGAACAGTGGGGTACCCCTGAAAAGCTGCCAAGAGCTCATACCTGGTGAGTATTTAATTTAAATAAATCATGACCTTCAGTCAGAGTGATAAAACACTGAAGAGTTCTCCTCTGTTTTTCAGCTTTAATCGCTTGGATTTGCCTCCATATGACTCATTTGAAGATTTGTGGGATAAACTTCTTCTAGCGATTGAAAACACTCAGGGTTTTGATGGGGTTGATTAAGACACAGACAGAAATGATATTGGTCCACTGCTGCAATTTCATTTTATGGGTTTACAAACAAATTTGAATTTTCCAGGGACTACCATTGTATTTAGTCACATGGCTATTGAATCTTCATAGTATCACATGTAAAATAAGTAAGTATTAAAAATTCACTAACTTTTGAAAATGTATTTTGTCATTTCCACAGTTTTCTGTACTTTGCTATTAAATACAATATACACATTGGATGGGCCAGTGCCAAGTTAAGCCAAAAACTAAAATGTTTTTAAGCAGTTGCCTCTTGTACAATATTTGAGAGTGTCCTGCAGTAAACTACTGAAGTAAAGCTGTGAAGAAATCTTTGCAGAGGGTTTAAATTTGAATTGCTGCTTGAAGAGGAGCAACTGAAATTGTTAAACTGTTTTAAAAAAAACAAAAAAACCAAACCCAACAAACTTCATGTAGTGCAGTATCCTAATCTGTGCTGCTTCAGGCTGTTTGCAACAGATCTGCTCTAAGCACTTTACAATTCAGCATATTAGGTGAAACATTGGAAAGCATTTGTTTGCATTATCAGCCATCAGTTTGCAGAACATTGACTTGCTGACACATTTGTTAGATTTCTATTTCTAACTTGCTTTTGTTAAAACAGTGTAACAAACCCAAGATTTTTATACAAAACAGATAAGCAGCATAATTCTGAGTTGTAATGAGAAATTATATCCATTTTTTGTTTGAATTTGTATACTGATGTTGGTTTATTGAGTGTTCATCACTTTTTTGATAAATTTGTAGTTCAACGATGGATAATATTTTCAATTCAGCCTTTTGCAACAAATCAATCTTGAAGTGGAATTTGTATGGATATCACTCAGTATTAGTTACTGATAGTTAGAGGCCTTTATTATCCATTCTTGCAGTATTGCACTACATAACAATAAAGAACATGTTTACAGGGTTTTCTGGGCCAAATTCAGCAGTCTGCTGTGTGCAAACTTCTCCCAACTGCATGGAGGTCGTGCACACGTGATCAGCTGCAGAATTTGGTTCTGTGATATGTTTACAGGTTGATAGTTTCTACAGCTGCATTTTTATATTTTTTTCTCCACTGTTAGTCTAGAAACCAAATTTGTTAATACAGTATAACCAAAGTCATAACCAACAATGTGCAATTTATTGTAGATCAACTTGTCATATAAATATTAGTTTGATTTCTTTTGTAAATGTGGGTGTTTTTTGTATTAATGTTAACACTTTCTTTGAGCAAGTGCTGGTTAAAATGATTAGCAAAGTTGGTTCTAAAAGAAACAAAATGATTTATATACCTGGCTTGCTCAAATTTTAACATTTTATTATGATGCCAATTAACATTTTATTATGATCTGAGGAAATGACAGTACCTAGCTTTGGCCAGCAAATTTCTGTTAGTCACAGTCTTTATAAATATGCAAGAAGAAAGTGTAGCACATCTTTCTCTGAAGATATGTAAATTATGTAACAAATGTTAATGGGTCTTAAGGGATATTTAAAATCCCTCTTTGTTTTATTCTTTGACTAGGTCATTAGGACTGAGAATATTACATGTAAATAAAGGTAACTTATACAAATTTCCCAAATCTATATGCAGTTTTGTAAAACGTGAATGATATATCAGTAAATCTGTATAGATTTGAATGTAGCAGGTTTTGTTGCATACTTTAAAGTATAAAATAAGGATCCTGAGAGCAGTAAATAAAAGTTTATTCTAATAAGTTGTGATTCAATTCTTTGAAGTACAAATCAGTCTTGAAATAGCAAGAATTCAGTAATTTTAGTACTCCTAGGTAGGTCATGGCAGCAGTTCCAGCACAATATGCTGCTGCTTTTGTGCAGGTGTTCAGATGCAGCAGCACTCAGTGCTCTGCTCCCAGATGTGCAGCCTTTGAAAAATTCATGTTGTGTTTCTGTAAAAGCTCTCGGTCACTGGTAAAGGAGAGGTGGGTGGTGCTGAGTGTCACAGAATCATAAAATCATACAATGGCGTGGGTTGGAAGGAGACCTTGAAGATCAACTGCGATCCCATGGGCAGGGACACCTTAACTAGACCAGGTTGCTCAGAACCCCATCCAACCTGGCCTTGGAGGACCTTCAGGGATGGGGAATCCACAGCTTCCCTGGGCAACCTGTTCCAGTGCCCCACCACCTTCACAGTAAAGAATTTTTCCTAATATCTGATCTAAACCTACTCTTTCAATTTGCACTCATTTCCCCTTGTCATGTCACTACTTGAAAATAGACTTGCCCCATCTTTCTTTCTTCTAAGCTTCAGAAGGGGTTCTGGTACTGGAAGGCCACAATTTGTTTACCCCAAAGCCTTCTCCTTTCCAGGCTGTACAGTCCCAGTTTTCTCAGCCTTTCCTCAAAGGAGAGATGCTCCATCCCTCTGAGCTGGGTGAGGTGATGGGAGCGAGGCAGCCTTTGTGGAGGATGCCACGGGCTGGAGGGCGCTGGGCCTGTGTGCCTGAACACCCACAGGCTGGGAAAGGCCAGGAGGAGAAAAAAGGCCTGGCTCCTGTGGCTGGAGCCACGTGGGTGCTGGGAGGACTGTGGAAGGGGGTGACAGGCTGGTACAGACCCTTGTGGGTCCGGGTCAGAGGACATACCAGTACAGGACACATCATGATCAGGACTTGTCCTGAGCCACTGTTTGTTGCAGGGAAGTGGGTGGAGTGGCTTCGGAAGCATCTCAAGAAATTCTGAAGTTGCAAACCCTGGCTCTTAATAAGGGAGACTAAATTATCTCACATCTGTGGGAAGGGCAATGCAAGGGGATGCAACCTGGGAGGCTTCTGGAGGGGGTCACGAACAGCTAAAGGAGTGTGCAGGCTTGGGCAGCCAGGGCGATTCTCTCCTGGATCTGCTGCATGTCCCTCTGTACTTGTATTTTCTGCACATCACATTTCTGTGTTCCCTGAAGCACATACACAGACACTTATGGGGGCAACTCCAAAGATGCTGCTATGAACACTTACTTATATTTTTCACCAGAAACACAGCTCCTAGTATGGCTCTGTGTGCCAGCTGCAGACCTCTTACCCTGGCACTGCAGAGGAGAGGTTTGCTGCTTCCCTGTTGCACTCATTTCATTACTCTTTTAACACCCAGCAGTGCCATGTGAGGGGTAAGGCAAAGAAGTTTCTCAGGTAGGTAACAGCTAAATGTTATCCATCTGCTGAGGGAAAAAAAAGAGTCTGTAGGGTTGACATTTGGTAAAAGATTTCAAGCAGATATGGTTAAGAAGCATTTATCTGTGAAGAGACTGTTTAAGGGTAGGCTTGAGCAAGATGCTCATTCTAGGACAGGGACTGGGCAGTAATGGGAGGGAGAGAATGGCTGCAACAGGAATAGTTGCTTTTCTCTGCTTTAGAAACACCACACTGAAAATTCGGGGCAGTTGGTGGTAGCAGTTTTCTGGGCTGCTCCAAGCCTGAGAGCTGAGAGTTTCTTGCTCTGGGCTGGGGCTTCTGCAGCTCAACGCTGATTCCAAACACCGTGTATAGAATGTGGAGACTCCAGCTGAGGCTCTGCCTGGGATTTGGACTCGCTGGGCTGGGCTGGGTGTGGGCCATGGCCCTGCTCAGGGCCCCCCTGGCTGTGCTCAGGGCCCCTGTGTTGGGCTTTCTCCTCGGGCCCTTCCCAGCACCCGGGGTGGGCAGGGCAGTGACGGGAGCTGCTGGCACGGTGGGGTTACATGTGTTAGGATGGTGTGAAACCTCTGGGAAACTTTTCAAGGGCTGAATTTCTCTGGGAAGTTAGACCTTCCTGTTGCACGTTCAGTAAGGATGGTGGTGACCTTTATCTGTGTATTAATTATATCCTTTATACAGTGAGTGGTGCTTCTGAATTAACAGCTGCGATGCTGTCAAGTAAATTTATTTAGCCTAAAAAAGGTAAAGTATATAGATTAACTTCAACAAAGACTTCCAGTGTAAACTGTTCCTGAGTCAAAGGTTTTCTTAGACTGCTGTGGATGAGGCTTTCTTGGGTTTTCAGTCTGTGTCACTAATTTGGTTTGTATTGACTTAAAGGGTTTTGGTAAGAAATGGTCCTTCTCTAAAATTTCTCCTTTATTCCAAAGGTTATCATATATGCAGAAGGGCTCTCCCGCCTGGTGTTAGGGAAATGAGACTTTAGGCACGAACAAGACACATTCAACACTGACTTGGAGGTTTGAGGCAGTGGGGGATGTGGTTTTTTCATTCAAAATTCGTTTCTCTCAACAGGCAGGTTTTTAGGCTGGATGTTGTTTGTATCAAGTCTCTCAAGGTGGTGTAGGTGATTCCTCAGCATTTTTGCTGCATCATGAGGCAGAGCTGTGGGTTAAGAGGAAGTTAAAACCAATTTCTTTAAAGTGCAACTGAGTCTTCACTTATGCTTCTTGAAGGACGCATGACTTAAATTATTTTTAATTACTATTAATAAGTCACATCTGTAGCATATTAAACAGTTTGGTTTTTTTTTTTTTACTAGAGACTGGGTTGAGTATTTATGCATCAAACCCAAGCAAAATATATGAGTGTAAACTACTCATTTTCCTTTTCTATTCTATTGTTTCATACATAAACTTACTTTGTAAGCTGCCTGGTGCCTTGACATTTGATTTGTTCTGTAAATCCATAGCACAGTTTGGTGCTATTTCACTAATTGACATCGTTTTTACAAAAATCTGCACGTGTCTCCTTGAAATCCACAGCTGCCTCTGGCACATTGTCAATGTGAAACATGTCCTGAATCAGCACAGATTTCCTTTTTTTTTCTTGTGTACTTTTTTCAGTGCAACTTCGGCATTCCTTAGCAAATACATGATACTCATCAATTCCCTAGGGTAGGAATTACATCACTGCAACGGTAACGTGCTGAAACACACACGAAGCACTTAAAACTGAATATGTGTGGTTTTTTCATTTTACTAATTTCTTGTGGTCAAAAATAATGTCAGTTGTTAGGAGAGTAGACCTTCTGTCTGTTTTTTCTCTTGTTTTTCATGCTGTCTGTTTGTGTGTGTTTTCCTTTCTGTTTCTCATTAGTTTGTTGTGGGGGTTCTTCACATAAGTTCTTATCAAATTTTTTTTTTTTTGTATGAGATTCTCTTTTTTTCAGGCAGTTTGTTTATTTTAATACATCCCCCTTTTTAATTGGCTATTTCTTTAAAGGAATCAATGTGCAGTTCTCGTGATGTGAACTGAGGAGAGCTCACTTATTTATCTGCAATTCAACCACCACCAAGAACCCACAGTTCTAATGTCATAGAAGCATATTATTGAAACATCTGTATGTTTAAAAGGTAACCAACACCTACCATCTTCCATGGTTATAAATGGGAATTCAGCATTTAATAGCTGCCAAGTTGCTCTGCAGCATCACAAAATCAGTAGGAGATGCAAGCACAAGCTTTGGTATTCTTACACTAAATCATTTTTCTTTGAAGTGGAGACTTAATTGCTTTTTCTCCGTGGAACATATATCATTAGCACACTAATCAGAATACAAACAGCTCACAAAGGGGATAATGAGGGAGAACTTCCATGTAATGCTTGGTTTATGTCCACGTGACTCTGTAGAAAAATGTTTTGTTTGCTGAGCTGTCCTTAATTTGAGGTTTCTTGCTTAATGAGACTTCAAACAAATTTTGCATTGTAGGTTTCAGGTTTTCATCCCAGAGAGAGGCTTGGGATTTCGGGGAGGAGGGAGGCCAGTCTGCCTGGAAAACCTGAACAGACACTGAGTAAGTGAGCCTGCCTCTTGAGGAAAGACAGATAAGGCAGCCTTCCTAAATGTGACAGAACGTAAAACTTCCTGTTGAAATACACCACAGTCTAAAAACATACATCACAATTTGTTTTTCTTAAGCCCTTTTGAGTTTAATTTAACGGAAAATGTTTTCATAATTGTCTGATAGCTTTTCTGATATTTTCTACAGGCTGAAATATTTCTGGTTGGGGTTTGTTTTGAGGGCTGAGAAGTCTGACCTTTCGGAGGCTGTGAACACACATGTCCTCCTATGCACTGCTGCCTGGGAGTATGCAAAATGCTAAAGGTTTAAATCAAATTGCCCTGAGGACTGCTTACTGACCTTTTGAATGCAAAGCTGTCAAAACCTTCAACTAGACATCAGCTAGAGAAGAACACTTTAGGCAGATCAATGCAAATAGAAAACAATGTGGGTTTGACTTTCTGTAATTCCTAGTTAGTGAGAAACAGTTCCTGTGCTGCAAGAGCTGCTGGAAACAAACCCACACTGCCAAGGAGTTGCTGTGAGTAACATGTAATAGTTACTTTTCAGGGAAAACCTTTTATAATCTACTTAAGAAATTAAAAGTTTTCATTAATTGCCAAATCCTGATATAGTTATCTGAGCAGGATGCTTCATTGACTTCAAAGGGATTTTTGTCTACGTAAGGAATGCAGGGTCAGGCCCTTAACTAGTGATAACTTTCTTCAGTGGGTTGTCAGATATGACAAACTATGCCACTTTAATAGAAGTTACCCTGGCCAGACCATGTCATCCCTTTGTCTGGAAAATCTGCTTTCTTCTTTTGCCCAAGTAATGGAGTTTCTATATAGAAGAGATTAGAAATTGCTCTTTAGCTGAAGCTGTGGTTTCTGTGAATATTCTCTTTACTTCAAATAGCTACAACACATTATTTTCTAGTTATGCTACATTATATAATAAATTCAGTTTCAGAAAGTGTTTGATGGAGTTATGAGCCCC